AACAATAATTCCCTCCCCTGGTGTTGTTAAATCCCCCCCAGACACCCCCGCGATGTAACTGGCATGTGTTTACTAGAGGGGTCAGCGGTTTCATCACTGGAAAGAGGATTCTTCAGTGGCAGTGGCATCTTTACTTACTGGTTGCTCTATATGGGTCATATTGAAACATTATCTTCATGATGGAGACTCAAATTGGAGGAGAACATGGAACATGAGAGGGAAACTCTAGGCCTACAGGGATTGGAGGGTTAAGGGTTAGCAGGGCAATAGAATGACACAGCTCACGGAAAACTACCATATCGTTGGGGACTACACAAGCGCTACCATAGGGATCCATTCCTCCATTCCCTACTCAGAGGCCGTAAGTCCAACCTACCCAGTACTCCTGCCAGTCTGGTATCGTCACTTAATGCAGACACAGATCCGCAAATTTGTTCATGACTTTCCGTCAGGGAATTCATGAGGTCTTCTTCTATGCTGCTCTGGTTGACTATCACTTGAAATCCCACCCTGTATGGGCTGCGAGGGGTTGGGCTGAGCGGGTGTGTTTAATCAACTTTGGGTTCAACAAGGGCACTTTGACAGAGGCCTGGCCGTCTTGGCCCGGCTCATTCTGCTCATTAAAGCGCAAGTTCTCCAGTTTCACCGTCTGTGGTGACGGTGATAAATAGCACCCAGACTACACTTGTTCAATGTGCATTCGAGTTTGGTCGTTTCGTCTAGCTGCATCTGATGCTGCTACGATGTATACCTGTCATGCTTAGGTCCAGTCATGTCCGTTAATGGAGGGAAGTGCAGAAAATGAGGCGGCTACCGATTCTGTTTGACATTGTTTTGAATGAAATTCTGCCGTAAAGACTCTAACCTGAAAGTTTTAAGAGGGCTTTGTTTACGCGCATTGGGGGGACTGAGGAGTGGACATTGCCAAAACGTGGCGTCACCAGAGCATGGCCTTGTAATGGAAGAGCTTGCGCTGCTAGCGACCTTTCATCTGGACTTGTGCAGCAGGATGTTGGACAATATTATCCAGCAGCCTTTGCGTGGTTGCTATGAGCCCTTCGAAAGCTGAGTTGTTGTAGCTTGGAACGGGAATCAGCGTCCGCCAACTTGCACTTCTATAATCCATGACGGCACAGGAGTTTCAGGATGTTTAGACCGACGAAGTGCCGTGAACAAGGCGAATGAAGTCTAATGGCGTTTGTTTGGTCACCAAGTGTATCACCCTAGTATATGCCCGTTTTCTCTGTCGATACAGAAGTCAAAAACACGGCACATTAAATCAAATGTGAATTCTGCAAGCTTGTAGCGTGGCTGAGGGTTATAGCACGTAGCACATCACTGACTGTCCATGTGAAACAGGCGCCCCGAATAAACGCTCACCAGGTGAAGGGGTGCCTTGCGAATTGCGACGCTGAACATACAAACTGCTAGGAAGCGGCAGGCATGGGTCCGTGAAAGCTAGATGCGTTGTTGAAATCAAGCTCGCATTTCACCACGTTGTACGCGCAAAGAAAGGTTTCTCTAGTCCACCAGCCTATGTCTTGAACAGGCTAGAGACACACCCGCGAATCAGCTCAAGTGGGTCTCATGAATCTGCCGAAACTGATGGTGTCGTGCAAAGGCCGAAACGGTTTCTTAAGAACCGGGGCGAGTCGCTTAGGTGGAAAGTGGCATTTGCATGTCCATTCATGATTTCTGGGACATGGTTTGAAGGCCCAGCATTGACATCATCAATTTCAAGCTCCACATTGTCCAATTTGCTATGATGGCAAAGGTGTGTTTAGATGCGCTGAGGAGTAGGTTGTCAGTTCTCTGGTCTGACTCCTCAGGCACCGCGCTTGTTGAGACTGTGTTGTGTGATGTGCTGTCTGCTGCGGCAGGACCGCTCCTGGCTCTACACTTTTAAACGGCCATGATGGGCCTAAGGTCTTGGCTACATTGCGTGTGTGTGCTTTTTCCAGAAGGTTCAGAACTAGGTAAGACCTGGCCTGGCTTTGTGTGTGGGGCGTTGAGCTCCTATGCCAGGGAGCCATGAATCCTAGCAGCTGCGCGATCATTTTCCAGCCTAGAAGGACAGCAACATGAGCCTCACATGTGGTCTCTTGCTTTGAAGGTTCACCCTCACAGCTTTCCTTCATGTTTGTCCTCACATGTTCTGAATTTCAGCCTAGAGATGGCTAAGTCCTTCTAGGCAATGAGACCCACTGCAGAGCACGAAGCTGCGCAGCTGCAGTGCGTAAAATGTCCGACATGCAGGCGTTCGCCGGAGCAAGACCTTGTACGTTTTGCACGAGGACATTGCCCACTTCATGGGCATGGTTCAGCACATCCGTTTATGTGAACTGCCGCGCCCTCAAAAAATCGATCAAATAGCGCGAAGCCTGAAGGCACGGCAGCTGATCGAAGCAGATTTTCATTGCGTAAGATGTACTGCACATAATTCGTGGTCTCACCTGTCAGTAGGTTGCCCACGACCGTATGAAGGGTCTGGGGTGCATCTGCTCGGCTTTTCCTCGCCGTCTCCAGCGAGATAAATTGAGTAGCGTGACCGCAGGAGTTGATATAACCCGGAATGTACTATGCAATTCATTTCCTGCCACCAGCTGGAGCTAGGATTGAGTAAGTCGCAAAGCAGAGGGAGGCATGACCTCCGCACAGACATACCATCATGATTTTTAGAGAGTGTTTTTACCTGCTGCCAGAGCCACACCAGGGCGTGTGTTTGTGTGCAAAAGGTAAGATGGACCTTGGCACATATGTTGAGCCTGCACAACGCTGCACACAATGTGCAGTCTAGATCTTGAGAGAGGCCGTAATGAATAGTTTCTCACAAGTTCCTGTTCGATCACAAAGACCAGGGCCGATCTGCTCCTGTTCTGCACACACTCCGGAAGCAGTAGTAGTTTAAACAGCTGCGCGTGGCGTATCTTGATCCCTCACGAACATCGGCCTATTGAGGACGTCGGCTACTGATTCGAACACTACCCCTGCATGGGCAAAGTTAACGTGTGAAGAGTGTTGTTGCCCGCCAGCTTTTGTTTGCAAGGCGGTTTTGCTATGGACAGGATTCCGGAGTTGTCCAGCTGATTGCCGATTTCAATTTGCTACTCTGAACTGCTCGCAGAAATCATGCGCAACTCCGTCGTACGTTGCAGCTTACAGCCGGGTTTCGGAACGACCCTCCGTGAGATGGCTGGTGCAGGTTGCTGGAACACTTGCTGCAGCTCGACCAGCAGCAGCAGCTTCCCTGTTCGGGCAAACCTTGATACCAGTCGCTGCCAGCCGGATGAGGAAGCAAGTAGGAAAAAACTCTTTGGCTTGAGAAACTGCGGGGCTTGAAGGTCTATTTGCACATCTGGTTGAAAATGCATGGATTGCCTTCATCTACGGCTTCCAGCAAGATTGATCGGAATCAGAAAATGTTTGATATCGACATGACATCATGAGGTGACCGGCTCAAAAAAAACTGTTCGGCCTGTGCGAGTTCCTTCTTGCCCATGCATGCAACCTTGCAGCTTGATCATGCCCACAGCTTTCGTCGCAGCATCGAAGGACTGGCTTCTGAATGGCTGAATTCGATTTGGGCTCAAGATGGCTCAGCCAAGCCTGTGCCAGAAAGGTTCAGTCAAGAGCTAGATCCAAGGCAGCCTGCAAGATGTGGAGCTGATGAGATGAGCCTGCAATGGGCTGTGTTGAGGAAGATTGAACTGCCAGCTGGTGGTGATTGCTTTTGTACAGCAGCAATCCAGAATGGCTCTGGCTGCAGCGAGGGGCTGAAGTAGTCAAATGAACCACATGAGATATCTGCCCCATCAGAGACTGTTTTGCTAAATGCCAGAAGCCCGCAGGGCAAGCGCAGGCATAGTGCATAGTATCTTTTTGCAAGGAGGCATGATACAATACTTGCGCGTAAAATTCTGAAACGGGGACCCCCTCGTAATAGGCGGTTGGGGGGGCATGTCACTATGGGCGCCACCTATTCCCACGCCTATTTAACCAGCGTGGGGTGGGGGTAGGAAAAATAGGCGGGAATCCTCAGTTTCAAGGTCAGATAGGCCCGCGCAGATAGACATATGCTATCAGATTAAGCTGAGCATGATTGAGCATGACTGGGGATTGAATGCCATGATGTGTCCTGGTAACTCTCTCATGGCAATGTGGTCAAGGGACCCTCAGCACTTTGAAGATATGGACTGATATGGAAATAGGCGGGCCGCCTGTTTCCGGGACCCCCCACATACCCCCACCCCCGAGGGGTCCCCCTATTCTAAATTTTGTAGCTTCATTCGGGCAATAAGCAACATACTCCGCCTTTGGAGTAGTCCTCGTGGATCTTTCAGGTTGATGTCGCTTGAGCTGCAGCACAGCGGTTGGGAAACGATATACTTGGTTGTGAGTTTTTTTGGATTGGAAAACAATATAGTGAGTGCCCAAGGACGATAGCGCCCTTTTCATAACTTGAGCCACAAACAAGCATTTCGATGGGAAAATGATGTAGCGAGTGCCCAAAAACGATAGCGCCGTAATAAAAACCCGTTTGGGAAGAAGGTATATTGCCCACCGCTCATATACAGAAAAACAGACATGAATGCATGCACGTCTATATATACACAATCATGCGGACAGCTTAGCTGAAAAGGCTGTGCTTTTTCTGCTGTTCTCCTGGCATCAGGTAAACAATATGAAACATAGCCTCAGGCAATGTGTCAAAACCTCTAGTTCTATGGTGACGGTGACATGGGCAAGGGCACCCACTGATCCGGAAGCCCGGGTTGCTTCAGAAGGTCTTAAGTCTTACAAGTTCCCCAGCTCGTTTCACGGGGAGTTGCCTGTTCGCACCATAAACAGCCTGTGTGGGCATGCAGACATGCTGCGTGTGGTCCTGGCAGCTTGTGGCAGAGCTCAAAAGCTTGGTTGTGCCAAGACTGTATGATGCTGGTGCTGATTGCTCGTTGCATGAGCTGCAGACATACTTGCAAACACGTCACGGAACATGGCAGGGGCACAACTGGTCTACGACTTAAACCCTAAGGGCCTTGTCCCGGTGCTGGTAGACCCAGCGGGAAAGGTGGTTGCAGCTTGGCTGGCAGCATAAGAAGCAGAGCAGCAGAGCCCTCCTGCCAAAGCCTGAGCATGCATCGCAACCAGATAGGAGCCACGAACCCGAATGCAGACATGTGTCACGTACATGCAATGATAAGAAGACCCCATGAGCGAAACCACTTTGGAGACTTAGGTCCGGGGTCATCCCTTTCTCCTCTTTCTCCTCCTCTCTCTTTTCTCCTTTCTCTTCTCTCTCCTCTCCTCTCTCCTCTCTCTCTCCTCTTCTCTCCTCTCTGCTCTCCTCCCCCTTCTCTCCTCTGTCCTCTCCGCTCCTCTCTCTCTTATCTCGTCTATCATCTCTCCTCTCCTCTCCTCTCTCTCCTTTCTTCTCTCCTTTCCTCTCTTCTCTCCTCTCATCTCTCTTTTCTCCTCTCTCCTCTCTCTCCAGAGGCAAGCCAAAAGTTCTGCGTTTCGCGACCACGACCCCCC